AACATATTAAAATAGCAGCAATTTCCTTTACAAATAAACACATTCAGCCAAGGAAGCTTCTACCAAAAAATAGTTTAGCCCTAAAGATAATCAAAAGCAGGAGCGAAATTATTTCAGTGTTTCTAATTTCAGATAATAACTTCTAAATATAAATATGCTATAACTAAATCAGTAGTAATCACTTTTTTAATTTTTCAAAAAATTACAATGAAATTCCTTCAAACGGTCTAATCCTATACTTTTTATGTTAATGTATATAAAAATAAGAAATATCTCCCAATGCGTCTGCTCTATATTAACTGCGGAAATCATTAATGGCAATAATTACACTTAATTATTTAAAATTATAATACTGAAAACGTTTAGATGTAACAGGCTATTTCTTAATATAAGCATCTTGATGCACATTGTATGAAAATTTGGTTTTTTAATCATCATAATTTCCGTTACTATTGGACCCTTGACTTGTAAGTTGCATTTGGACCAGAAACTATAAATTAACCATAAATATCTGCTGAGAAGCTGTATCTTTCAGCTTCTGAGTACATGACTCTTGACACAGCCACGTTCCTTGTAAATAATATATGTGTAAAATAAGTATTTCAACTCAATGGTCTCGATAAAGTCTTTCTCTACATCCCTCTCCCATGCTCCACAAACATGCAAAGACCACAATGGTCTTTTAGGGTTTGAAGATATTGGCTCGCGAGGGGCATGGAGACGAAAAGCCATCCCCACCAGCTTGGATCCGTCCTCCTGCACCTGAGCTGTCACTGGGGGTCAGAGAGAAGGACTCTTGGATGGACGGATGGACCGCTGCGAGAATTACTCTCCCAGAGAGAAATACTTGGCATGGCCCTGCTGGCAAGATGTTTTTCCTGTTCTAAATCCTTCTAAGTAAATCCGATGTAAAATGTCTGGATACTGCAAAAGCCAATCTCAAACTTTTAACTTTTTCTTTTAAATTTTTCAGATACAAAATAACTGTAATTTGTGTTAACTGCCTAGCAATTATAAAACATGAGAAAGCGACTTCTTTTAAAATATTCATTGTTTTCTAAAGTTTCCATTTTTTTCAATATTCAGGTTTCAGATGAACCATTAGTGCAACAGCTGAGTGCCCTGAATTGAGCTTCAATAATACGTAATAGTCATGTATCGCCCAACGACAAGAATACATTCTGAGTCAGAAGGCAATTCCGTCATTGTGGGAATGCAGTACAGTGCTCCTACCCAAACCCAGGTGGTACAGCCCACTACTCACCAGGCTGTGGAGTCAGGCCTATCGCTCTGAGGCTACAAGCCTATACCACCCAGAAAGACAGAAGCCTTGCCCAGCTGGTGTGGCTCAGTGGTTGAGCATGGACCTATGAACCAGGAGGCCACAATTGGATTCCTGGCCAGGGCACATGCCTGGTTGGAGGCTGGATCCCCTAGAGGGGGTGAGAGGGCAGGGCGGGGCGAAGCTAACTCCTGATTCCATTTTGTGCTGTGGGGCAGGGTGGAGCTATCCTCCAACTGGACCCTGGCCCTCACCCAGCCAATCAGGGTCAGCCAAGGCAGTGACTTGTCAAAGTTCGAGCTCTCGTCTGCCATGCTGTCGGTGTGAGTGGGACAGAGCCCATGCTAGCATGGAAGAGGCTCTCTTGTTTATTGCATCGAACTCGGCTCCCTGATGGTCCTTGGGGATCACGGAATCTCGGCACAACAGGGGCATGTGGGAGGCAGCCAATCAACGATTCTCTCTCATCATTGATGTTTCTCTCTCCTTCTCCCTTCCTCTCTGAAATCAATAAAAATAAAAGTATAGAAATAGAAAAAATAAAAGCTAAGACACAAACACACACACCAGGCTAAGCCTGCACAGGGTCCAGATCATCAGCATCACTGTCTTCCTCTCCACAGCTTGTCGCTCTGGAAGGTCTGCATGGGCAGTAACACGTGTGGTGCCGTCCTCTCCTGAGGCTCTGGAGGTGTCAGTGTTTTCAGAGTAAGTACATGGTGGTTTGCTTAATTTGCTTCTTTTTCTCATCACAGATTTGCTTGTAAGCACCACAAACATTCCTCCCTATTAATGAAACCTTTTGGGGTTGGGTCCATGTTTGCAAACTTTTTCAGGGAGCTTGGTAAGATCTGCAATAATTCTGTTAAAACCTTCACTGTGAACTTTCTTGAAGGATCTCCTTTTCCTCTCCTTTAGTTTCTTTCTTTGTTTCTTTCTTTTTTTCTTTTTTTCTTTTTTTCTTTTTTTCTTCTCTTCCTCATTCCAGTTCCAACAACACTTCATTAGTTAATTCCTCAGGAACCACATCAAGGAGCTCCTCAATGCCATTCTCATCCACACCCAGTTTAAAGTCATATGGCGTCTCAACTACAGCCTTGTTGATTTTTTGCAACTTCCTCATCCTAGGCAAATTTCTTGAAGTCATGCAAGAGCCTCCTGAGTGTCTCCTACCGGAAGCTATTCATATACTTTTTGGTGACATCATCCCACACCCAACAAGGTCCTAGATGCAGTCCTGGATGTTGTAATCCATCCAGAGTTGAATCCGTGTTTTCTCAGCATCTTCCTCAGTTGAAGCAATCGCCTGGGCAAAGGGAGTCCCCAGGTAAAAGCTGATATAACGCTTTGATTTATTGGTTGGATCAAAGAGGTGATATTTGATGAGAGAAACATCATTTTGATATTGGGATGAAAAATCACCAAAAAAGAAAAAGAAAAAAAGAAGCTATCTGAGAGCATTATCAAACCTCACTTCTCAATTTCACTGGCAAAACAACTCAATAGGGCATCTTGGAGGAAGAGCTGGGTCATCCATGACTTCTTATGGCACCTGTAGTACCTGGGAGGAGGGGGTGTTTATTCATATGTTTTTGGGCCCTGAGATCTCACTGTGCCAAATGGCAAAGGGTTTCAATCTGTAGCCTGCAACACTGCCCCCAAGCAAGACTGCTCCACTGTCCTTAAAAGCCTTACAGCCTGGCCTGACTTGGCCTCCTTGTGGATGAAAGTGCTTTCAGGCGTCCCTTTCCAGACCAGGGAGGTTTCCTCCACATCGAATATTTGCTCTGGCAAGTAATTTTCCTCCACAATCAGCACATTGAGAGTTTCCAGAAATTCTCCAGTTGCCTTCACCCCAGCACTCACAGACTCCCACTCACTTTCACATTATGCAATGAGCTAGAGGCCCTGGGCACATATTCATGCACGGGTGGGATCCACCTGGCCTGGACCCAATCAGGGTGGATCAGGGCTAGGCCTGTCAGGAGGAGGAGATGGCAGGAGGTTAGCCAGCTGCCCCACCCTAGTGGGGCCAATCAGGGTCGGACCAACTGGGGGGAGGGACCATGGGCAATTAGCCAGTGGGTCCTGTCACCAATTGGGGTGGGGGGACAATCAGGGGCAGGGCTAGCCAGGGGGAGGGGCTTCGGGCTGATCAGGGTGGGACGGGCCAACTGGGAACGGGGGCCATCTAGGAGGGAGAGGCCACAGGAGTTGGCTGGCCTGCCCTACAACCCGATCAGGTGGTTTGCTGGCCCCAGAGGGCATCATAGCCACTGGTCATTCCAGTCATTACAGCATTCTGGTCCCTGGCTTTTTATATATATAATGATTTTTTTTTTCAGTTCTCAAACTTTTTTTACTTTATTTTTCATTTTAAGCAATATTTTATTTTTCAATTTCAGTTGACATATATTAGCTTTCAGATACACAACTCAGTGATTAGACATTATGCAACTTACTAAGTGATCCCCCTGATAAATCTAATACCCATCTGACACCAAACATAGTTTGAGTGAAGATTTTTGGATCATTTAAACCACCCAGAGCTAGCATTAAATTCGACATGGTGATCAGGTCCAGCCTTTTCTTTCATCATCACAAACAATCTTTTTGCTTTGGCCATGATCACCATGGCGCTGAAAGGGATACATGTCTATGTCTGGTCATCAGAAGGTTCTCCGTGTCTAATACAGAGCCTCCCTGAATTTTTATTAGTCTTGTTGTGAGTAGGTCCTTTAACAGTTTCCATCATGTTGTTTTTATTCTTCAAGATCGTAGCTATGGCGGAATGGACATGCCTGACTGGCAAGCAATAACCATCACTGATTTTCCACTTTTATATTTTCTTTCCAGGTCAGTTACTCAACTAATTGTTATGACAGCTACAATGTCACTAAACGACGCAAATTTTTCAGCTCCATTATGGTTTTATGGGACTATTGTTATTAGTCAAAGTGTCATGATGTGATGCATAACATTCAACCTCTTAATTTGGGGGATTAGTCGCACTGATCAGATACTGTAGATGTCACTGATGAATTCAACATGTGGCTTTTAAATGTTCAATAAAATGATATAATAAGCAGAAATGAATAGATTTGGGAACCTATGACAGTTTATTTTTTTAACATATTTTTATTGATTTTTCACAGAGAGAAAGAGAGAGGGACAGAGAGTTAGAAACATCGATGAGAGAGAAACGCCGATCACCTGCCTCTTGCATACCCCCCACTGGGGATGTGCCCGCAACCAACATACATGCCTTTGACCGGAATTGAACCTGGGACCTTTCAGTCTGTAGGCCGACGCTCTATCCACTGAGCCAAACCGGTTTTGGTGACAATGCCATTTTTTTAGTAAAATTCATTTTTTAGTAAAATCACTTGCCATTGTTTCATAAAAATTCAGAATAATTCCTTGACTAATATACTTTTTTTTTTAAGGGAGAAGTACGGTTTTTTGTGTTTTTTAAATATATTTTATTGATTTCTTACAGAGAGGAAGAGGGATAGAGAGTTAGAAACATCGATGAGAGAATCATCGGTCAGCTGCCTCTTGCACACCCACTATTGGGGATGTGCCTGCAACCAAGGTACATGCCCTTGACCAGAATCAAACCTGGAACCCTTCAGTCCACAGACCGACGCTCTATCCATTGAGCCAAACCAGTTTCCGCTATACTCTTTTTTTAAAAAAGTCAAATTAAACCACTTACCGTAAAGAGCCCACTCTCACTGCGACAGGCACGTGGGGAAGCTGAGAGGCCCACTTCAGTGTCACGTCCTGATAAACATGCAACAGGCTATTGTGGTTCCCAATCAAAGTATTTACTGTTCCTTCAGAAACTGTAGTATGGGATGAAAAAAAATGTTTAAAGCTAAAAAGGAGACAGTCATTAGCAACATTATATTATATCCCTTCTAGGGGATTTATGATACAAGCTAATTATAATATCTTGATGTTAATGTGTAAAGATTTTAAGTAATAAAACATGATTTTCCGATTTCAAGCTGCCAATATCTAAAAGGAAAAAAAATTATAGACTTGAAAACTATAACCAGATACTAGCCAAATTTTTGCATTTCATCTAGAAAGCATGAGTTTCATTAATATTTAACACATTGAAGCTAATGATTTTCTGGGCATTCGCTACAGAACAGTCATTCCGTTAGGCATCACTATGCTCCGCTCTGCTTACAGAGGGGTCTGATGTTCTTTTGGAAGCATCGCGAACAGCCTCATTTTGGAAAGCAGTCATGTGTGCCTGGGGCCAATTCTGCAATCCTTTTGTGCTAAGTAAAATGACTGACAACCCAAGTGTGTGCTTTATATCAAACTTCTATTCAAACTTTCAAAGTTAAAATTTCCATTACATGTTCAGCTTAAAAGTATTTTCCTAGATGTTCATATGCATGTGAGTTTGCCCTTTTCTGGTATAAATAGCACAGCCCTGACATATGGAAGAGATAAAAGAAAATCTCTCTTACACACCTGAGCAGTACGGGAGAAAACAACTTGGGCTACAATCAAGTTTCTTCATGAATTGAATCTGACCATTATCCTTAAGGCAAAAAAAGTTTCTTTCGCCAAGAACAAAAACAGAAGATGCTGACTGATTGAAAGACATAATACATATATCAAGGGCTTGCTCTCCAATATTTAGAGTCCAATCTACCTGCAAAGGAAAACCTAAGATCAATTTAGTTGCACACAAAAAAAAAAAACACAACCTAAGTACCCATCCGTAGACTACTGGATAAAGAAGATGTGGTAGATACATCCAATAGAATATTCCCCAACCATAAAAAAAAAAATGAAATCTTACCATTTGCAACAACATGGATGAACCCAGAGGATAATATGCTAAGTCAGTGGTCGGCAAACTCATTAGTCAACAGAACCAAAAATCAACAGTACAACAATTGAAATTTATTTTGAGAGCCAACTTTTTTAAACTTAAACTTCTTTTAATGCCACTTCTTCAAAACAGACTCGCCCAGGCCGTGGTATTTTGTGGAAGAGCCACACTCAAGGGGCCAAAGAGTCACGCAGTTTGCCGACCACGGTGCCAAGTGAAATAAGTCAGAGAGAGAAAGGGAAATATTGTATGATTTCACTTATATGTGGTATCTAAAGAATTAAATAAAGAAACAAACAAAACAGACTCATAGATACTGATGGTAACCAGATGGGGGTGAGGGTCTGGGTGGAAATGATGAAAGGCTTAAAACTATAAGTTGGTAGTTACAAACCAGTCACAGGAATGTAAAATTCAGCATACGGCATACAGTCAATAATATTGTAACATGTATGGTGCCAGCCGTGTAGGGATCACTTTGTAAATTATATAAATGTCCAACCACTACACTGTACACCTGGAACTAATATAAAATAATAATGTCAACTGTAATTGAAAAATAGAAAAAGAAATAATTTTAAAAAATAAATAAATAAATCAATAACAAAATAAATGTAACATTGCTGAAATTTTTATATTTTAAAAAAATGGCCTTACAACAAGTCTTTTTCCAGAACCAAGTTTTTGCTGTTCAGTCTCCTGTCTTTTATCTGCATCTGTTGCAAAAGCGAGTACTTGGTACCTGTTTGAAAGATATGAAATAACTGTAAATGACTTTAGAGTTTAAAAGCACAAGTTATTTTAAACTTTAAGAGCACATAACCTCAATAAAGCTGATCTAGAAAGAGTAGTAAATAAAACAATTAATCTATAAACCTAATGAGCAACTTTTATCTTTGTTTTAAAAACTGTAAAATTTAAGATTGAATTCTTACTGAATTATACTGTGACATAAGACTATGTAAAACTGTCATGATCAAGAAACTATAAACCATATGTCCCAAAACTCAATATTGGGAATATAGCTCTGCCAACTATCAAAGCATTTCCATTAAAATTTTATGTGACAAATAACAATACTCAAGAAAGATCTAGCACCAAAACACCAAATAAAAGAAATAAAAGAAATATGTAAATAATGGAAAGCACCAGATGCAGCAGAAATTATTAATATGTAATCGATGGAACCAAGAAGACCTGAATCTAAGCCCCAGCTAAATCACTTAGTAGTTGAGTGAATTTTGGCAAGTTAAACACTCTGTGTCTTACATTCCCCATGTATAAAATGGGAATGATAATCTCTGATGCAGGCTTTGTTAAGAGAATTGAAAAGAAATATAGCCTAGTCAGTTTTGCTCAGTGGTTAGGGCTTTAGCCCATGGACCAAAGGGTAACAGGTGTGATTCCCAGTCAAGGGCATGTACTTTGGTTGAAGGCTGGATCCCCAGCCCCGGTTGGGGCATGTGCAAGAAGCAACCAATTAATGTATCTCTCTCACATCTATATTTCTTTTCACCCCTTTCCTCTCACTCTCTCTTAAAAAAAAAAAAAAAATCAATGGAAAAAAATATCCTGAGGTGAGGATTTAAAAAATAGTAATATAGTGTCTAGTATAGTATCTGATATATATACTAGGTGCTCATTTATTAGCAGACAGATAATGGTTTATATAAGGAGATAGATCGATAATCTAGTAGTTTATTTGATATGTAAGAAGTTCTCAAAAATTAACACTATTCTTTTTATAAGCATTTCACAGCTTTTATTTCAATAGTAACATTTAGCTCAAATCATTCTTTAAAATAATTTGTAGCCCGAGCTGGTTTGGTTCAGTGGAGAGAGCACTGGCCTGTGGACTGAAGGGTCCTGGGTTCAATTCCAGTCAAGGGCATATGCCCAGGTAGCGGGCTTGATCCCCAGTAGGGGGCATGCAGAAGGCAGGCAATCAATTATTCTCTCTTATTGTTGATGTTTTTCTCTCTCTCTCTTCTTTCCTCTCTTAAATCAATAAAAATCTATTTAAAATAATAATAATAATTTGTAAATATCATTCATTTTAGAAATGATTAACTTAGCCAAGGAAATGTATTTTGCTTGTTTCCCACTAATTAATGGTGTGTGAGAGTAATAATCACATTCAAGATGAAGAAACTTCAGGCTCATAGGTTACTCCCCTGCTATTGAATTCGAACTCCTTACATTGTTCTTCCATAGCTGAGAGGAAAATCAGTAAAAGATATATTCAGACACCTGATACTGTCTAAAAGAAAGATGGATGTCTGACCATGTGAACATCTGGGACCTGAATGAAGGCAATGCGAGATATCTACATAAGCGCTGAAATGTACAGAGGTGTTCATATATCATATTCCAGCTTTAAAACCATTCTACTCGATCAGGAATACTTCATTTGTAAAAAGCCTCCAATTTCAGTTTGAGACAGAATGACTATGAATTAAGTGAGATTTTGCAAGACATTCATAAAGACCAGTCTTACAATTAATACGGAAGCTTAATGTGTATGAATTTCATTCCTTCAATAAATATATAGCAGGGATCTGATACAAGCACTGACAATGGAAAAAAATACTCATGGTCCATATTCATTAGGCCCTCCCAAAGTAGTGGAGATTCATACACAAACAAATAAATGTAGCTTAGAACACCCTGTGCTAATGGAGGGTATGCATGCAGTACCAAGGGAACATGGTAGCAGAAACGGAAATCAAAGTGGAAGAACATACATGTTCTTGGTATTGGTTTAGGAGGAGAAAGCTACATTTTAAAGAATAAGTGAGAACTCATTGTGCTGGTAAAGAGGCACAGGTAAAGAGGCACAGTGGCTGAGCATTGACCTATGGTCCAGGACGTCAGGGTATGATTCCTGGTCAGGGCACATGCCCAGGTTGGGGGCTCGATCCCCAGTGTGGGGTGTGCAGAAGGCAGCCGATTAATGGTTCTCTCTCATCGCTAATGTTTCTCTGTCTCTCTCCCCTCCTCTCTGAAATCAATAAAAATGTGTGTGTTTTTTAAAAAAGAGGTGAAGGCTTTATGGCAAAGCCAACAGCACAAGCAAAGGCACACACCAATAAAATAGACATGAAAGGCTACCACAGTGCAGGAGAGATGCAGGGCAGGGAGGACTGAGTCATGGGAAAGGAGACAAAATAGGTAAGAGAGTGTTGATCTCGGGCTTGTAAAACTAGACTAACAAATCCCATCGGCAACTGCAGCAAATGTCTCCACACCTACTGAGCCTGACTTTCAAAATGTCTGTGTCTTCCAAGGTGCAAATATCCACGCCCCACATTCCAACCTCTAAATCAGATTGTTTTACTCTTCCCAGTTCATGGTAACAGACACTGTATGCACTGGTGACAGGCCCTGAGCCCAGAGCTGGTCCTGCCCGGCTCTAACCTTAGGCGGTTAATTACAGAGGTGGCTAATTTCCTGCAGACACCAACCTACCAGAGGATGGTATGGATATTAATGAGATGGTTGCAAAAATCCAAAGCTCTGGAGCTGTTTGAAGCTTCTTATATAACTACAAAGGGTTATTATTTCACCTGAGGAATAAGTGAGCCCTAAAGTGGCCTCATTAACATCAAAACAGCAGGCAGAGACCCAGCCCAAAGTGACTCCTGATTTCCAAATCCAGGTCATTTCTCTTCCTGGAAGACTCAGAAGAGTATTTTATTGCTAAACGTAGCTGACAGTAAATGTAGATGATGACAAACTTATAATAGCATCTATTTTATGATTCTTCCTTATCCTCTTAACTGTGACCAATAAGATAAATGGAAATCTAAACCAAAACCAAAGAATTACAAACAGACTTGGAAATTCTGAAAAAAAGAAAACACTTGGATTTTTTTTTTTTCCTTACCATTCAAGTATCCAGTGATATAAGCTAAAGAATAAGATTCCTAGCCCGGCTAGTGTGGCTCAATGGTTGAGTGTTGACCTAAGAACCAAGAGGTCATGGTTCGATTCCTGGTCAGGTTTCGGGCTTTGATCCCCAGTGCTGGGGCATGCAGGAGGCAGCTGATGAATGATTCTCTCTCATCACGGATGTTCCTATCTCTTTCTCCCTCTCCCTTCCTCTCTGAAATCAATCAACCAATAAAAATATTTTCTAATCCCCTTTGTTGAGACTGCTGAAGATCAATCTGGCCCAATGTAATAAGATTCCATGAAAGAGCGTCATACATGTTTCTCAGAACACAGAGGCAGTAATCACAAATACAGCAGGTCCAGATGAACGGTGGTGCTTTTTGGCCCAATAACCACAAGTACTTAATGGGTCCTGTGGAGGACCAATGACAAACTCCACCACATAATTTAGTGCTCTTTTGTAACACGTCGTAAAAACAGCGGCAAGGAGCTAAAATATGGATTGAGGTGTCACAGAGTACAAAAGTAAACCCTCCGCAATCATTTATTTTCAAATGAAACATAGTTGGCACCTCAAAGGATAACAGGGGATTTTGAAACCTTTGTATTTAACTCGGGGGAACTGTACTAGAAATGGAAAGCCCTGGCTACAGAGCCTTACATTGTCCCTTCGCAACTATAGCTACAGCATTCTCGATTGCGCCAGAGGGAATCATTTTCATTAAAAGAAGCCAATAACAAAATAGAAACATTCCTTACAAACTTTTCACTCCTTCATCAAGTAGTTCTTAAACACTTACTTTCAACAGGGTACAATGCTGGGCACTTCGGGGGATAGAAAAATCCCTGCCATCAAACATCACTTAGCTCAGTCAAGAAGAAAAACAAGCAAATATGTAATATCAGTGAAAGCATAAACAGTACTTGTGAAAAGCAGTGGAAAACTGCTCTAACTTGAGAAAGAGGAGATGTGACTTGGAGAGCCAGGTCACAGAAGAACTGAAGGGAAGGAGGGAGGCTTCCAGAAATTATTTTCATATGCAAAGAAGGAAGGGAAAGCACTCCAGGCAGAGTACAGCATGAGCGAGAGAGAAAAGCCTTGACCATATATAGAGAACCCCAAATATTTCCATTTGACAAGAGCCTAAGACTGGTGAAGGACACAATCTTCTTTTCAAAATATTGTCCAATTCAAAAAAGATATTTTAAAATACGTAAAGCCTATTATCTACTTGCAATGCACCAGGAGCCAGTGTTAGGGAGCAGGGGGAGTGCTGGCACAGAGTAGAGAACTCTAACCTGTGGCAAATGCATTCTTCAGGCAGCCTCCCTACACCCGACTCTCACCCAAAGGTCCCCGCTGCAGGCCTCCCCGTATCCTGTGCACAGTTCAGTCATAGCCTGTATCACTGTGAACTGACACCGCCAACTGATATGCTACGTCCCCCTTGTGCTTACAGCTTGAGGATAGGAGACAGGTCTTATTTGACTTTGCATTTCCTGTACTTTGCACATAGAAGCCTCTTGAAAAATGTTTCCTGAATGAATGAATGAATGAATGAATGAACCAATAACTGAATTGTTCTGTCAGTGAGCAGATATTTAAGGCACATTCTGCTCTCAGGAACCTGATCATGCAAGACATCCTCTGGAACATCGCAGCACAGCACAAGAAGGCAATATAGGAGACTGAGCCAAAAGCAGTGTTTTAGGAAATATATTTAGGAGGTGAAAAAAGGAGGATAGTTGAACAAGTTACCTTTAAAGGTCCCTTCCAAATCTGAAAGTCAACATAATAGAGGTAAAATGGAACTGGAATATAAAGAGCACTAAATTTCAATATAAGAAAATTCAGATTTTTTTTTAATAAGAAACAAAAATTCTGGCTTAAAGAGGTGGTTTTAAAAGATAGCTATAAAAAGGACCCTAACATCTAGAGGTAAGAAAATCATAAATCCAAGTGAAAAGATAAAAGCCTCAATCCCAATGGGACAACAATAGCTGAATAAGAGGGAAAAAGGATAGAAAGGTCAGGATTTACCGACTGAATAACTCTGACAGGAAAGGAAAGAAAAAGAAATTAAAAATTATTCAGCCAGCCAGTGTGGCTCAACAGTTGAGTGTCAAACCCATGAACCAGGAGGTCATGGTTCAATTCCTGGTCGGGGCACATGCCTGGATTGTGGGCTCAATCCACAGTGTAGGGCAGCTGATCAATGATTCTCTCTTATCGTTAATGTTTCCATCTCTCTCTCCTTTTCTCTTCCTCTCTGAAATCAATAAAAATACATTTTAAAAATAAAAACGATTCAAAGTTTTGATAAACATGGCCAAAAGAATAGTGGTACCTATCGATAATAGTGTCTCTCCAAAAACAGCAAACAATTCTCTCACTTCAAAAAAAAAAAGCTCAATGTGTATCCCTGAATTAGAGTCCAGCCTGGAGGGTGTGTCTGCGATGATAATTTCTAGGACTTTTCCCAAAATTACTAAATCACAATCTAGAGTATTGGGGAGTGGGAATGTGCAAACGTGCATTTTATGACAGGGTCCTGAGTGATGCTATGCCCACTGAAGCTGGAGACCCATGGCCTCCCCTACTCCCTCGTAAAACGTAACTGAGCTTGTTTTAAAGTAATCAGACAGCAGGAGCAAACATGAAAATGATACATGAATGTTTATCTGATCTTCTACTCTGATCACTTAGGTTGTTTTCCACTTCTGCCCCCTACAATGTAAAACAATTGTCCTACAAACTTTCTTGTAGGAAACATTTTATCAAAATTCTTCTATATTAATTCTTATAAGTGAAATTGTTTCTTAAACATCTACCATGTTTTCTCATCACTCCCATTTTCTAAACCTTGGCGATTTTTATTTCTCTTCTTTGGACCCAATTTAACTTTTTTTTTTCATTCTTGTTAAAGTTTGAACTTAAACTCTGAGAGAAAAAAAAATGAAAATGACGCCTTCTATACTAACTGATGGCATTCTATTCACTCATTACAAAGATATTTAGTGAAATCTCAAAAGAACCTGCCGTTTTCATGCTTCCTCCCATCCTAAATTGCACCCATGATTATGACTTAATTTTATCTATTAAACTTGAAAGCATATAGAAATACAACATTCAACTTAATGGTATAAACCCTCTGATTGTCATCATTTCACAATAATCACATTTCCCATGCATTTGTATCGTTATAAAAGACCCACATAAAACGTGTGCATTTTTTAGCCCTAGATGTAGGTGAATTTAATAGGTTGGTATGCTGAATCACCATACTTAAAACAGTGTGCGCTCCTGTGGGATTGAATTTACACATTAAGGAAACCTACGCCGTGTTCCCTCATCCAGCGACTCCTGGAGTTATTACCAAATTAATTCCTATGCACATGTCTCCAGGGGTAAGTCAGGGAGCCTCCGAGTCTCCGTGCGGTGACCACTGTGGGGCACAGCCAGTATTGCTCCTAGGCAAGAGTTGAGACACAGAACTGGGTGGAAAGCTGAAAAGCAGATCTCCTCAGTATTGCTTACATTGTGACGGGCTTGAATGTATTATACAGATATTTTCCTCAGCCTTTCACGGCAACTCTAATATTTTATTTATTACCAGTAGCAATGCCACAACCCATTCATCTCCTCTGGACAAGAGCCACAGGAGTTACAGAAGGACTGGGACATAATAAAGCACTACCTGCGTCAGTTAACTTCTGCTTAGTCACAAGCATTTGTCTGTTTCCAGAGTGTTGAATCCTAGATGCCTTGACAATAATTCACAAAAGCCACTTAGGAAGGGAAAACTGCATTGCTTTGCTATGTATACAATATTGAAAATTGAAGACAAAAATGTACAGGTGTTGTCTGATAAATTTATATTTTCTTCCTGCCTTGGGGAAATGGGAGGCCAAAAATAATACCGAAAAGCTATAATGAAGTGTTGCTTAAACGTTTAAAGTTCTAACTGTTGCCGTCAGTAAGATAAAAGAAGTGACTGAAGATACTGTAAGTCTCCAAATCTATTTCTTTTCCCAGCATGGATTTCCTTCTTTTCCTCGTACCCCTTTCCAACAACAACAACAAATACACACCCTCCAGGACTGGCCAGTGAGGCTCAGTGATAGAGCATCAGCCCACAAACCAAAGGGTCATGGTTCAATTCCCCATCAAGGGCACGTACCTGATTGCAGGTTCCATTCCCTGTCAAGTTGGGGTGTGTGCAGGAGGCAACCAATTGATGTATCTCTCTCACATCCATGTTTCTCTCTCTCTCTCTTTCTTCCCCCCCCCCCCTCTCTCTCCCTCCCTCTTCACTACCTACCTTCCTTTCTCGCTAAAAATTCAATGGAAAAAATATCCTCAGGGTGAGGATTAAACAAAAACAACAACAAAAACAACCTCCAAAAACTCAAAACCTTAATCTTTATTAAAATGCAGCCGATAGAGGAGAAAAAGGTGTCTCTCTAAACACAAGTCAACAAAACCAATAAAAATTTCTAGCAAAAAGTATAAACTGCTTTCATAGGGTCATTCACTTCTATTATGAATCGTTCTCTTATAAACATTCAGAAAAACACTTGTATTTCTTGCCAGTATTCTTCCTATGTACACATACATTCTTTTTTATAGTTATAAAATAATTCCATATATGCATCTTTGTATCAGGCTTTTCCACTGACCCTGTGTCTTATTATTTATAATTCAGGGAACAGACCCAAGAGTTATTGAGCATTTTCTATAGGTTGGCAATTTGACACACATTTAATCCTGTAAAAATAAACCAACATATCAAATAGTCATTTTTTTTTAATTCTATGGTTTTCCCCCCTTTATTTTATTACTTGTTTCATCACCATTTATCCCCCATATACCTTCTCTTTCACCTCCACCCACGCCCCTCCCCCCACAGTCACCTCACTGTTGTCCATGTCCACAAGTTCCTTCTCTTTGAAAAAACCATTCTTATCCCTTTACAGCTAGGACAAGGACACTGACCATCAAACAGCTGGAAGTATCAAAATCTAAGTCACCACAATTTCATCTTATTTAAAAAAAAAAAAAAAAAAAAAAAAACAGGCTCTTGTTAATTTCAGATATTAGCTCTTTGTGGGGAAAACTGAATCAGCAACATACACATTTCCAAAAACACTGATTTCAAAGGCGGGACACCCAAACTTACTTGTAGCTTTCCACCTGTCGGCAGGAAGAGACGGTAATGAAGGAGTCTGTCCGGGAGCTGTAGGCAAGGGGGCCAGGCAAGAGAGAACCGGGGAGGAACCTCCCAAAGGCATAGCTCTCCTGCTCAAACACCATCAGCATCCCGTCCATGGACTGGATACAAATTAAATCCCGACCTGAAGGAGAATGAGAGGAAAGTCGGTGGCCTATCCCGAAACACACTGTTATAATGCATTACTCTCCGCCACAAATATGTCATAGTTCATTTTTTCTCCCAAGCAGTAAAATGAGCAGTTCAACTGGTGAGTCAATCAGATTATTACATACCAGTACATATATATTTCCCAATTTTTAAAGGATTCAGGTGTCTATAATTTTACATACATTTATTTTCATTTACTGTGTGCTAAAATCTCTGGCTCAAGATGACCCCTAAGTGCAAGTATGACGCTTTGCAAGATACCAGTTTTCCCAAAATCAGAACTAAAACAACTGTTCTGCACATGACTACTGTCTGCATAATAGTTCAGCCTCGTATTTACGTGTGTGTGTGTGTGTGTGTGTGTGTGTGTGTGTGTGTGTGTGTGTGTGATCTTTTTTTATTGATTTCAGAGAGGAAGGGAAAGGGAGAAAGAAACAGAAACATCAAGGATGAGAGAGAATCACTGATCGGCTGCCTCCTGCACACCCCCTAGTAGGGATCAAGCCCGCAATCTGAGCATGTGTCCTGACCAGGAATCGAACCATGGCCTCCTGGTGCATGGGTCGATGCTCAACCACTGGGCAACACCAGCCAGGTTCAGATTCTTTTATGATGAATGGTAAGCTTTTGAGTCCAAGCTTTTTAAACTCTAATATTTACTAAGCCTGTTAAAGGTTTCCAAAGAGCTACGGGTTTGTATGCATGCTATACAAAGATTCACAGAGATCTATTAGGCAAGGAGTTTTTTATCCATGGAGAACTTAGCTACTTAGCAAGCCCATCTGTCTGCAACCCGCAAAGAAGTATAAAAATGCTGCAAAAGCATCGAAAAAGATGCTGCTGAGTCCTTGTAATGAAAATCACACAAACCTTCCCCAGGGAGATTCCCAGAACTCACGCAGGGCAGGGCATCGATTCCTATTTTAAGTGCGGGTCTAACAAGGCAGTTCTCGTGGACGGTTACTGACAGCCGGGAGCTCCAAAGTCAGAGGTAAGCTGTACAAGTGTAACACCGGACAGCACATGCAGAGCACATACTAAATCACAGCTCTATCATGATGGTTACTGTTACCTGCTTTCCAGCCCAGAGAACAGAAAAAAGCACATGAGGAAACTATGAAGACATGCTAGCTACCAGCAGCGGCAGCTACACCCTAACAAAACAAAAATGACAGAACATCTATAAAATACTTTTTTTTAAAAAATAACATTCTGACACAGATAATAATTTAATTTAAAAAAAATTTTTTTAAACAACATTCTGGGCTCAGTATAGGAGCAATTACCAACCTTATATAGTTCAAAAGGACAAATGCCATATTGTAATGTACTTGGAGTAATTAAATGGATTCAATATCATTTGGAATAGCTCAGTCATTTGAAAAAAGAACTTGTGGCAGAGATGTTAACTGCTGCCCTAGTAGTCATCCTTTTTTTTTTTTTTTTTTTTTTGATGCCTGAATTATCACTAGACACGTGACCATCCAGAATAAAGCTTTTATTTCCAGGCTCTAACACAGATGCATTATATGATCATGTTCCTACCAATGAGGTGGAAGCTGAGGTGACATATACAACATCCAAACATGCCCTCAGAAGGACGGAGAATGCACTGCCATCTCTTCTAAGAGTGGTGGTAGGGCTGGAACAGCTTTCTTGGTTTCCGAAATGGAAGCTCTCCTATCAGCCCTGGTCCACGTGATCCAGAAATAAACATCTTCCTTACTTAAGCCATCATAAAACTGGGCCGTGGTTAAAGCAATCAAACCTGTCACTAAATGACACAGAATTCATCTGAGCCAAAAGATTCATGCAGCATTGCTGAGTCTTAGGATTTAGTTTCACTTGATTGGATCCTGCCAGAGAAGACACTGGGACAACTGCATAAACTGGAACATGACGACAGGTTAGATAACATCAGGGATTGCTGTTAATTTTCTTACGCGTGATCCTGGAATTGTGACTACGTAAGAGAATGCTCTTCCTGAGCAATGCATGCTGTAATATTTATGGGCAAAGTGGCAAGGATCTGTAACTTACTTTAAAATGGTTCATCAAAAAAAATTGTGTGTATACACATGTATATACATCCACAACTGTTGACGTTAGATGGTAGAAATATGAATGTTCATGTTACTTTTTCTGATATTTAAATTTTTATACTAAAAATGTAACCCAATAAAATAAAGCATTTAAATATATGTCTTTTGTACACAAATTTTCTTTTTAACACTCAAGGGGGGGGGGGCTGAGCTTAGTAAGTGAGACCTAGAGGAGCAATAAATCTCATTTTAATAAGTCAAGAATCAGAGAGACAGGAGGAATCCAATCAATGAAACACATGCAAGGACCTTGACCTTTGGGGGAGGATATTGCTGAAACCAAATATACTCCTCAGATCAGTAGCATTTAAGGATGTGAGGGGAGAGCATGTGTATTTCCAAGCAGCATTTCAATATGCTGAATATGGCTGAATCACAACCCATTAGCCTCCCAAAGGCCTCAAATGGGTGGTCCTCCCAGTGTGGCTCCCAGCTACCAGCAACCCGATTCCTTTAGAAACTCCTTAGAAATGCAAACGCTAGGATTCTGCCCTAGGTCTACAAATCAGAAAATCTGGTGGTAGGACCCAGCAATCATATTTCAGCAATCATAGACCCTACATGAAGCATGCTAACGTTTGAGAACCAATGCCTTCCCGTGGATGACAGACAGAGTTAGAGGTTAAAGAAAACTTGAGTCTCAGAGAAAACAGGCTTTCTTAGTATGGTCTAGAGAGGTCTTGTTTCTGAAACGCTAGCACCTAAGAAGAGTGTACTTAATATTCTGTGTCACCCATGTGGGCTACCTCTAGAGTCAGATAACCTGGGTTTGAGTCCAGCCCCACCAATTATTAGCTGAGAGCTTGGGCTCAAATTTCTTTACCTGCAAGATGGCATTCCTACCTTAGTTGTTGTGAGAATTAAATGAAATAATGTAAGACAACTAGATCCAAATATACCATCACATTATTATTTTATAATTATTTTCAAAATCTCATAATACATGTGAATTAATGTTCAATTTCTTGCTGTTTCACCCACACACACTATGATAGAGCACACTTCCTTGCTTTTGCTTATATTATTACCTCCCCCAGAAGACTCTTTCCATTTGCTTCCCCTGGTCTAGAAAGCATGTCCTGGCTGCCTCCTGGTCACGCATTCCCCTCTCCACTCATCTTTAGCCATGAGGTTTGAATGAGACTTGACTTTATCTTCAGCTTAAGGATAGACCCTGACTTATGAAAACCAATCAGTATCCCACTAGTCACAGTGATTGGTTCGGGGGCAATGAGAAAAACTAAATCCTCAGATTGGGCTAGAACTGGAGAGAAACGTGTTCTTCCCCCTGGGGGAGACATGTGTGAGGGGAGCAGGTCTGAGGCCTTGGAGGCCATTTGACTTTCACGTGGGCACAGTGAAGACAGGGCCATAAATATCTGGAAAAAAACTCTTCAAATTGGGTCTCTGTCCCCGAATCAGATGGCTCATCCCATTTTTCTTCTGACAGACATCACAGGCTGAGGGTCATGTCTTCCTAGCAGCCTTCTCCTTCCCACTCGGACACCCTCTACCTGTGATCCCACCCTTACCTCCTCCTAACAACTGATTATAGACTGAAATGATCAGATTTTATGTCTCTCACTCACAGGCAGGAGCCAAATCGTGTTCATCTTTGGAAATCCAACAAGGATGAAACGCCTGGAGATAGGAGATATGATAATAAATGTCTGCCAAGCTAAAGTGAGCTAGACAAAATAATGTACTCATCTGCTTGATTGGCTGAGATTTTATTCTGTGAGTTTCACAGATTGCATCTGAACTAAGTGAAAAATGCTTTATTTATTACAATCCTGGCTGCTGACGTTTGGAAAAATGTAGAGATTAATCCAAAACACTACTCAAAAATAAATCCTTCAACTCGCTGTTCTGGAAGCCACTGCAGGATACATACCAGAGGCTCCCCTTACAGATAATGGGAACAGAAAGAACCCCCAGGAGGTTCGGAGTTCTGATAGAACAGAGCCAACAGGAAGCCTTCCTAACAGTGATGGGATTTCAGGAGCTGTTTACATGACCTCACCGTGAACCACACTCAACGATACCTTCCCACACGCTCAGCCCAGGATGATAGTAGGAGAAATATAGAACTGCAGCAATAACTACGACTGCCATTTGCTGAGCACCTGTTAGAGTCCTGCCTTTGAGCTAAACATGGATCCAGCCAGTTAGCTATACTCTTTAGTAACTCTAAAAGGTGGACAATTGTCCCATTACGCACGTATGGAGTGAAACCCCACAAAGCTTAGATAATCTGTCTAGTGCCCAAAAAGTTAGAAAATGACAGCGCTAGTACTCCAATTGGAATCTCTCTGGCTCCATTATACCACCCATGTTCCCTGCAAGGCCCCATTATGCCACACTAAATCCATTTTATGAAATAACACAAGTTAACATAGACAATCTAAATGAAGTGAGACAGACTAAGTACTACAGAAAAGCTAAGAGCTTAATGACACTGAACTTCCTGGGAAAGGTTTCATAATAGAGGTAGGATGTATCCTAGACTGCAAAGATAGGAGCAATGAATAGGGGTCAAAGAATTTTCTGGGAGAGAAAAGGAACATATTAGAAAAGCAGACAGAGGCCATGAAACTTGATCCAGTGAATGGGCATAAATTGTAAAAGCAACTGACTGAGAAGATGACAATATCTTAATGATGCTTACACAAACAGTATGCTTACCTTGTACGGAGAAAATATCTTTCAATGTTGAAATAATTAGGAAGGGGAGAGATTCCATCAGAATTTTGAATCTGGATGTTTATATTCCAGTGGTTAAGAGCATGATGAGAGAAAAATAACCATTTTGATTTGCAAGATCTAGAAACAATTAGAGAAAGGACCTACCAAAACCATTTTGAAAGGATTT